CTTCTGGCATCATTGCAGGAATTCTTCCATATTTTCGTTCTCCAGAGGAAAAGTTATTTTGTTTGCTTGCTCTTGCCTAATGGTCTCCTTTGAAACTTTTGATTCAGAGATTTCGACCATGTTGACATTCATGTTGTCTTTAGTGGCAAGAGTCATTTGCTTCATTTGAGCCTCCAGGTCTTTTGTCTGGCCTTGCACTGCAGCCAAGTAGGAAACGAGTTTAGTTCCAGATTTTGAGGCTCCAATTGTCTCCAGTTTTGGACCTTCAGCGGCCTTTTGGACTGCTTCAATTGTCTTTCTAGAAAGGTTCCCAGAAAAACTGCCAAAGATTGGCATATTGATATGATCTTTGGTGATTTCGACCATAGTTATCCCTGGCCTTTTCACCTGACTTCTAGAAGCTTCGATCACATTCACCTCTGAAGGTTCAGCATAGTGGGCTTCCGCCTGTAAAGGGCTCGAATCCACATTCACGGGGGCCTTATCAGCGAACTTCAGCCTCCCTTCTTCGATAGCATTCTGCACGAGATCCCTGAAAAGAAAACATTGAGATGTTTTATGGCCCAGAAAGTTATGATATTTACAATAGCCTCTTTTCTTTCTTTGATCAAGAGGAGGCACTTTTACCCCTGGGGGTATCATTTGGCCATCTTTTACAAGTAAATCAAAATTTTCATCACATTTCGTAATATCAAAACTGTAAGTCTTTTTAGGGAACCTATCATTGGCCTTTTCAGAACCAGTGGGTTTTTTTCCACTTGAGGGGACTAGTAGTTTGCAAGAGTATGGTGGCCCTTATTTTAACTCAGCTAAACCGACCTCACTTTCTTCGACGGTTATAGGTTCGTCGAACGTTTCTGGATCTTCATCGTCCATCTCGACATACGCAATCCTTTCTCTTTTATGAGTTTTCGTCGCCCTGGCTTTTTCAGCTTTAAGGCGTTCTACCTATCGAACCCTATCAGCCAATTGGGCCATGTCCCTCAGGTACTAAGTGTCCAATTTCTTCCTATTGGAGTAATCTAGACCTCCTACGGCTATTTCGACTAACTCATGTTCTGGAACTTGCGTAAAGCATCTTGCCTTGAGCAATCTAAACCTATTTAGGTATTCGTCTATAGGCTCAGTGAATCTCCTCTTTACACTGGCCAACTCTTTCAGGCTTATCTTGGTTTGTCCCATGTAGAACTTCTCATGGAATAGTCTCTCCAATTGGGTCCAATGGTGGATCGAATTGGGGGGAGAGTTGTGAACCAAGTAAACGCATTCTTGGTTAGGGAACTTGGGAAATACTTAATTCTCAGGTTCTCATTGTTTGAAATTTCTCCTACTTCGATTAAATATCTTGCCACATGTTCGACAGTGGATTCTGTGGTGTCCCCTGAAAACTTAGTGAACTTTGGGACTTTGCATCTAGGAGGCAAGTTCGTTTGTAACACATATTCCGACAGCGGGGATGTGAATTTGGGCCTACGAAAGCCCGTATTCATCCCATTTTGCATCATGATTCTTTCAATCATGGCTGTCAAGTTATTCTCCAAACTAACATTCTGGTATTGGATCTGCTGAACTACTTCGTCAGCGTTTTGGTTTCTATTAACCATCCTTATTTTCGGGGCTATACCTCTAGGCTCTTCGACCCCGGGTTGTTCCATTTGTACCCTAAGGTTCTCTTTGACAGGCTGCTGGGCTTGGTTAATGGTAGTTTCTTCTTCTAGAAGTATGCCTTGATTCCCCCTTATTTGTGCCCTTTGAGGCTGTCGAATAGGTTGGGGTACCCCAAAAAAATCTGCCAGACGCGACATTTGCGCTATCATTTGCTGATTTGACTGAGTGGTATTCTGTATTAGAGGATTTAGCACTGTACTTAAAGTTTGTGCCAACATTTGAACCATGTCGTGGTTGCTTTCGTCTATTTGCTGCCTCAGGACTGCTGTCGAGGCATTCGTAAGGCCATGCATTACTTGGGACGTTCCTCCTAAGAGTTGGGTCCTACCCCTGTTCGCCATACCAACCCCAGAGCCTTGGAGTGGCGAAGAGGCGCTCACTAAAGGATCTGAAAAAGTGGACGTAGCATTCGTCAGGCTAGCCAATTCAGAAGTTGGCATGCCATAGAGTGGTTCTCGATTTAAACCGACTGTCGAAAATCCTGGGGGAACATATGGCCTAGTTCCTTGGTTTCCCCTTGGTGGGGGAGTTCCCAAAGGCATTCTGGGGCCTGTAAATGGAGGTAATGGCCCCGTTTGTGTAACCGTTACTGCTGACGTTGAACCAGCGGTTACCACTTCACTTACGGTTGGGATAACCGTTGCTCCCACGTTTGTCTGTGGGATTTCTCCGTTGTTTGGCGGATTCGCCATTTCTTCACTTCTTCTCCTAGTATTGGTTTCGTTGGTGTATATTCTACCACTTCTCAATAACATGCAATACTCTCGAAAAAGGAGGATATTTTATATAAAACGGTTAATCGTGAGAAAATCAACACAAGGTCCCACCGGGTGTGCCAATTTGTTTACCGTGAAAAATGGTAAACAACCGCTGATCTTCCAAAAGGTTATTTATTTGGTGACTAGCAGGATCGATCAGATTGATCCTAAGACATGGTTGATTTTTGGAGTTTGACTAACCCTAATGGTGATTAATGCCAGTAAAGTAAAGACACTTTAAATAAATTGCATGGAGAAAAGCTTGATAGAATAAATAAAAGCGTTAAGGAAATGTTAAATAAAAGGGCTTCGACGGAGGTAAATAAATGAACAACGGTAAATTGCTTGAATATAAAAGATTTTGATTAATTTAAATGGTGTTTCACACATACATTCTCAAAGATTATTTCTCTCACGCTGGGTACTTGAATCTGAATGAGTGACTTGTATAAAATGGTGAACACACTAATAACCACATAAAAACTTAGTATTTATACTAAAAAAATCCTAAGTAACCGCTGGGCAGTTACACCGCTCCGAGATGACGCCACATGGCACGCTCACAACCTTCGACGCCTATGCTCTCGACACGTTGCACTTGGTAACTGTTGGGAACCATTTTCCCTCCAATAATTCAAATCTCAAATTGTTCGACCTTGGGCATCAGGGACCTTTGTCGAGAGGTTCCTTCGACGTCGAAGACAACAAGATTCCAACTTTAAAGGAATTTCTCTAAGTGTCTTGTCATTCTTTGATGAGCCTTCGACATGATCAGTTGGTCGAAGCCTCCTTATGTAGGAAACTCTTCTGACTCATAATTAATGGTCTATATGATAATAAATATGGGTGTCGAATTTAGGAGCCAACACCAAGACAATAGAGGTACACGTGGTGAAGATCCTTTGGATAAAGACTCAGAAGGTGATTGTGAGCATTAAATGAGCATTAAATAATGATGAAACTTATCACAACCAGAAATTTTGCAACGTGAAACTCTACACCAAGGCTTATTTCTGGATCAGAAGTTCTATTTCAGCGTAGCATCCAATCTTCTGATCCTCTTATCTTCTGGCTCCAGCATGTTGCTGAAGGAGAACGTTGCTTCCACATGTTCTGATTAAAGCGTCGTATTCTGAACCATGTTTGCAACCTCTGACTGAAGTTTTTTTGAAAACTTGTCCAGAAGTTCTGACCAAACTCTGCCTTGAGAGTGTCCAGAAGTTGCTGAGCGTTATGGTGATAACCTGGTCAGAAGTTCTGAAATTGTCATATTTTCTCAAACACTTAGAAAAAATTCTAAGTATTTAGAATTTTGACTTTTTGGATTTTGATGAAACAAAACTTCATATTTCAACGTGTCTTGATGAAATATGATTCTTGAAGCTTGATTTTGATCCAAATGTCAAAGTTTGACTTTTCAGCGTGCAAATGACCATTTTTCCCTTGTGAGTGATTTCCTTGGAAAATTTGTAGTTCAAAGCTTGGAAACTTGATAGAAGCAAACCTGGGATCCAGGGTGATCCCTTGAGAAATGAGAGGGTAAATTTTAGAGTACAACAATAGTTTATAATATTAGTTATTTTGTTAGTACATTGATATTTTGGTTTATATTTTATTATTTTAAATGTTTAAAATATATTATATCGAATGTTTGTTAAAGTTTGAGACAAATTATTAGTTTGAGAAAAATAACTATTTAAATTTAAAAAATTAATTCTTATGTACGGAAGGGATGGGGGTGGAGATACTCGAATTAGTTTACGATAAATTTTAAGTTTTTAATTAGTTATTCCGTTTAAGTTGAAAAATAAATATTTAATTAAAATTCGAATTTGAATATGAAGAAGGCAAAATTATCTCGAATCCCGCCCCATTATCGTCCCTACTTCTAAATATTCTTGTTTAATCATCCATGGTCAATTATTGCAATAGTCTTCCAAGAGTTTTGAACTATGTCCCTTGTAACAACTATAAGGCTAAAAATCTAATTGTTCATTCTCTCTAATTTTGGAAGAAATAACATGTAACTAATTTTTTCCCATAGCTAAAAATCTTATTTTTCAATGTCATACAAAATATGTAAAGTTTAACTCAAATATTTTAAAAATCGAATCAAATAATTCAATGGACTTAGTTGTAAACCGTTTTATCTTTGGTTTAATATTTAAGTGGCTCGATCACATGTTCGTCTTCGTTTGAATCATTTTATCTTTAGTTCACTTATTTAAGTGGTTTGATAGTAGGTTCGTTCTCATTCAAGCCACTTAAATCAATTGAACCAGTTAATATCATATGTTATTTTTAAATGTTGAATCAAAAGTCACTAAAATTGTAAAACAAAGTAACATTTTCTGGATAAGCCCAAACCCCAAATACATATCAGAAGAAATTTCAACATTTCAATCCACTAAAAAACAATACATTAATACAGAGTGTAAAATAGTCAAGAAAGACAGCACTATATGTGTCTTAGTCTACTATAGACTATACTTCAAAATTTATGTATACAATACATTTATTTCTATTGCTAATAAAGAAGAAACAAAACTGAAATTATTGTTATTAGCAAAAGCTATGGCAGTAGAGCTCCAAATTGCAAGCCATGGAAGAGAATACAATGGAAAGATGACTTCTATTGTGATTCTATCATGTATGGTAGCTGCCACTGGAGGCATTATCTTTGGTTATGATATAGGAATTTCAGGTCAGTTGTTCGATTAAGATCAGACAATTCTAAAACATGCAAACTAGTATTTGTTTTATAATCATGACTCGAAAAAACGAACTTGAATATGATTGATAAAACAGTTATTGATATCTCAAATGCGTGAATGCGCGAAAACTCGGAATAATACATGGAATTATAGATTATTTTCTTTATTTATTTGCAGGTGGTGTAACATCTATGGTGCCATTTTTGGAGAAGTTTTTTCCTGATGTGTACACTAAGATGAAACAAGACAAGAACATTAGCAATTACTGCAAATTTGATAGTCAACTCTTAACAACATTCACCTCATCACTATATATAGCTGGTCTTTTAGCATCTTTTTTTGCATCATCGGTTACAAGAATGTTTGGTCGAAAACCATCGATTCTTGTAGGTGGTGCTGCATTTCTTGTCGGAGCAGCTCTTGGTGGTGCTGCTCTTAATATTTATATGTTGATACTTGGTAGAGTTCTTCTTGGTGTTGGAATCGGTTTTGCTAATCAGGTATATTCTTTATCGACTCACGCTCCAGTAAAATCCAGTCTTGTGCTTGATGAGTAATTATATTAAAAATCATACATCAAACAAGATTGACATCCTTCACCTGAAAGTCGGTTATATAGACTTGAATTAGACTCAACTTAACATGCTTATGTTGCAAGTTATGAATCACTGAGTTAGACATCAGACACGATACTGCCTCGTAATATTGATAATAACTTGAGAAAATAGAATAAACAAATATAACTACATGTGTCTTTGTAAAAAAAAAACTACATGTATCAGTGTTCAACACTAACACGCGTCACAAACTAGACACATATTTAATCGGAAATAGCAGCATTAGCATAATCTTTGTTATGCATTAGAAACTTTCATTATTTTGCAGTCAGTTCCATTATATCTATCAGAAATGGCACTTCCAAGATACAGAGGAGCAATCAACAATGGTTTCCAACTATGTGTTGGAATAGGTGTTCTATCAGCAAACTTAATCAACTTCGGCACAGAAAAAATCAAAGACGGTTACGGCTGGAGACTTTCTCTAGCCATGGCAGCAGTTCCAGCTTCAATTCTCACATTAGGAGCATTTTTCCTCCCAGAAACACCAAACAGCATAATCCAAAACAGCAAAAACCATCAAAAAGCAAAGTTAATGTTACAATCCATAAGAGGAACAAACGATGTTGAACAAGAATTCGACGATCTTATTGAAGCAAGTAACGTGTCAAACTCTATCAAACATCCATTCAAGAACATCTTACAAAGAAAATATAGACCTCAACTTGTCATGGCAGTAACTATACCTTTTTTTCAACAATTCACTGGAATCAATGTCATTTCGTTTTACGCTCCTATTCTATTCCTAACCATTGGATTAGGCGAAAGTGCTTCACTTTTGTCCGCGGTTATGATCGGTATCGTAGGTACTACTTCAACATTCATATCAATGCTGATAGTCGATAAACTAGGTAGAAGAGTATTGTTCATATCAGGTGGAATTCAGATGTTTTTCTCGCAGATTCTTATTGGAAGTATAATGGCATTTCAACTCGGCGATCATGGTGAAATAAGCAAGAAATATGTATACTTGATTCTAGTTTTGATATGTATATATGTAGCGGGATTCGCTTGGTCTTGGGGGCCGTTAGGATGGCTGGTTCCTAGCGAGATTTTTCCATTGGAGATAAGATCAGCAGCACAAAGTATAACAGTTGCAGTGAATTTTCTGTTTACTTTCATTGTTGCTCAAACTTTTTTGACAATGTTGTGTCATTTCAAGTATGGAACTTTCTTCTTTTTCGGAGGTTGGGTGGTTGTGATGACAGTGTTTGTTTATTTTCTGTTACCAGAAACGAAGAATGTGCCTATTGAGCAGATGGAGAAGGTGTGGAGAGAACATTTGTTTTGGAAGAGAATTGTTGTAGACGAGTGATGGCAGACAAACAGTGTAGTTTTATTGTTGTAAGTATCAAAATGTCTTCTCAAACCTACTCGGTTTTTTCATAACCATGTCATAGGTACCAAGTATTTACAAACTTGACCATATTTTAAGGTGTATGAATCTATAACCACTCGAATCAATTACACATCGAAGAAACGATTGATATTTATTAGAATCAATTACACTTGTATTTTATTTTTCAGTCTTAAGCTGGTTTATATAGAGAAAATATAATGAATACATTTAATTTTCTTTTTAATGGAGAATAATGAAAAATAAAGAAAAATATAATATTTTCCAACACCTCCCTTAAGTTGGTGCATAGATAACTTGTCTATCACATACTTAAAAATAGGTCTTGTCAAACTTTTGGTCAAGACATCCGCAGTTTGCTAACTTGAAGTCACGAAGAGTAGACATATGATTCCAGCATCTAATTTCTCCTTTAAGAAGTATCGATCAATCTCGATATACTTGGTTATGTCATGTTGAACTGGATTATGAGCAATGTTAATAGCAGCTTTACAGTCAGAGTACAATTTCAATGGAAGCTCAATTTTTCATCTTTAGTTCATCTAGGACTATGAGAATCCATAATCTTTCACAAATACCTTAAGGCATAGCTCTAAACTCGGCTTCTGCACTACTCCTTGCTACAACTCTTTGTTTCTTACTCCTCCATATCACAAGATTACCCCAAACATAGATACAATATCCAGAGGTTGATCTTCTATCTGTGACTGAACTGGCCCAATTAGCATCGGTGAAGATAGACACATTTCTTTCACTAGTCTTCTTAAAAAATAATCCTTTCCCAAGATTTCCCTTCAAATAACTCAGTATCCTATAGACTTCCTCAAGATGTTCTTCGAAAGAAGAATGCATAAACTGACTCACTACACTAACTAAAAAAATAATATCAGGTCGGGTGTGTGACAAATAAATCAGTTTCCCAACCAATCTCTGATATCTTCTAGTATCAACAGAAATATTACCTTCTCCCTAAAGTTTAGCATTAGGATCCATAGAGGTATCTGCAGGACGACATCCACTCATTCTTGTTTCTTTTAACAAGTCTAGAATGTATTTGTGTTGTGAAACCAAAATACCATTCTTTGACCGAGCAACATCCATATCTAGAAAATATCTCATGAATCCCTAGTCCTTGATTTCAAAGCCAACGGCCAATTTCTCTTTTACTCTTGCCATTTCTATTGTATCATCTCCAGTAAGGACAATATCATCAATATAAACAATCAGGGCAGCAACTTTCCCATCGTGAGAGAACTTTGTGAACAGGGTGTGGTCAGTCTGTCCTTGGATGTATCCTTGTTTCTTCATGGATTGGGTGAATTTTTCAAACCAAATTCTAGGGGACTCCTTTAATCCATACAAAGACTTATTTGGTTTGCACACATTTGATCCAAATTTGTTTTCAAAGCCAGGAGGAATGTCCATATATACTTCTTCTTCTAGATCGCCATTAAGAAATGCATTTTTAACATCTAACTGATGCAGGGGCCAATCCAGGTTAGCAGCAAGAGATAAAAGAATTCTGACAGTATTCAATTTTGTAACAGAAGCAAATGTCTCAGAGTAGTCTATATTGTAGGTCTAAGTAAATCATTTAGCGACCAAGCGAACCTTGTACCTTTCAATTGACCCATCTGAAATATACTTCACAGTAAACACTCATTTACATCCAATTGTCTTCTTGTCACTTGGTAGTGACATAACACTCCAATTTTTGTTCTTTTCAAGAGTTTTCATCTTCTCAAGTACAGCTTCCCTCCACTTTCAAATTTCTAGAGCAACCTGTACAGTTTTTGAAATTTCTATAGCAGACAATTTTGAGGTGAAGGCAGACATAGATAAAGACAAATTTAAATATGATATCAATTTGAACATGAGGTGTTTAGTGCAAGATCTGACAACATATTCATCTATATCAAGATACAAAATACGACTTGCAGAAACAGAGATAGACTTACTTTTTCGTTTGTTAGAAGGTTTGATCATTTCTCGATTCAGATTCCTGGCAGTGTTGAGATGTGGACTCGTCCCTTCCTTTATGGTGCTTTTTCACAAAAATCTTTCTTTTCCAAGTCCTATTTTCTAATTCAAATATATTTTCTTGAAGTGACTCACTATTTTATGGCATTTCAATTAGATCATCATTATCATCGTTTTTAGGATTCTCATTATTTTCTATAAGAGAAAATGTAGGCTCAAATTCACAACTTACTCGTAACAGAAGTAGGATCAAATAAAGAATCATGATCATTTTCTATTGGTGCAGATGTAAAAGTCTCATAATTTTGTGATACTACCAATGATAAGTTATTTAAAAAAATTCATGTCCTCAATTTGAAACTTCTGAAACGAGTCTTTGTTTATCTCTCCCTTGAAGATTAGTGTCATCTAAAAAAGGTTTATTTTCAAATAATGTAACATCCATAGTGACAAACATTTTCTTATTTTTTGGATCAAAACATTTATATCCTTTTTAAATTCGGGAGTATCCAACAAAGACACATTTTATGGCATATGGCTCCAGTTTTCCAACGCTTTTATGTTCATGAGCGAAGGTTGTGCAACCAAAGATTTTTAAATTCAAATCAGTTAAAACACAAGTACTAGGAAAACATTCTTTGAAGACATTAATAGGAGTTTGAAAATTGAGAATTTTGAAGGGTATTCTATTAATTAAGTACGCGACTGTTAAAATAGCTTCGTCCCACAAATAATTTGATACTTTATTTGGAAAAAAATAGAGCTCTAACAACCTCTAGTAAATGTCCATTTTTCCTTTCGGTCATTCCATTTCGTTGAAGAGTATTAGGACACAACCTTTGATGAACAATTCCCATTTTTTAGAAAAAAAGCATCGAGGATATTGTTAAAATATTATTTGCCATTATCACTTCTAAAGACTTTATATTTGTTTGAAATTGATTCTGCACCATTAAAAAATATTCTTTACATCCTGACAAACATTTGATTTTCCTTTTAATAAGTACACCCAACATACTCTTGTATGGTCATGTATAAATGTTATAAACTATTTTTTAAGAGAGAGTGTACTTGTACAGTTAGGGCCCCAAACATCACTGTGAATAATAGAAAACGGTTTTGATGGTTTATAAGGTATTGAAAATTAGAAACGATGATGCTTTGCAAACTCACATGCTACACATTCAAACGAAGAAAAGTTCTTATTATGAAATAACTTAGGAAGCAAGTATTTAAGTAATGAAAATTAGAGTGACCTAATCTTAAATGACATACCATAATATTGTCATCTTTATTATTTAAAACAGAAAAAGACTCAAAGTAGGAACTAACTGTTTTTGAAGGTTATTGTGACGCAGATCCAATGTCAAGGTAGTAGAGTCCTCCACTCTCCTTAGCACTATCAATCATCTTCCCCGAGTTCAAATCCTGAAAGACACGGTGAGATCGAAAAAATTAGTTTTACAACTTATATCTTGGGCTATATTGCTTACGGAGATTAATTTACACGATAAGTTTGGAACATGAAGGACATTTTTAAAAGTTAAAATTAGAGACAACACAACTGACCTTTGACCTACAATGGCTGAAAAGGAGCCATCTACCATTTTTATTTTTTTATTACCTGCACATAGACTATATGAGGAGAACAAAATAGATTCACCTGTCATGTGATCAGAGGCACCATAATCTACTATCCAGGTATGACTGGGACTGACACTAAGAAATGCAGAATTACCTTTTATTGCTATAGAATAAGAAGGGGTTGGAGACTCGAGTAGTTTGTACAGTCTGTCTAATTGTTCTGTAGTGAGTGGAAGTTGAGTTTGAGGGGATTGCTTCCCTTAATTAGAATTACTAGCCTGAAATGCACGACCACCTTTCTTCTTCCAGTTAGGAGGTTTGCCTTTGATCTTCCAACAAGTTTTACGTGTATGACATTCGTGCTTGCAATGATCACACCAAGGAACTTTGTCTGACCTTCTTCCCTCGTCAAGGTTCCTGGCAGCCTGATTGAACCTTCAGATTCAAAGCTTCGTGTACTCTTGCCCGTCATAATTCCTTGTCGTGTCTCCTCCGTTCTTATTTCTATAAAACTTTCACGAAGAGTTGGTAATGGTACTTTTCCTAAAACTCTACCTCTTACCTCATCAAGATCTTTGTTGAGCCCAGCGAGAAACATGAATACACGATCATTTTCTTGCCTCTTGAGAAACAAAACATTGTCTTCTATACATCTGCAATTGTCATCATAACAGAGATCCCACAGTGTCAGCAGCTCATTGTAATAAGCAGTTACACTCTTGTCACCTTGTTTCGCGTGTCATACCTTTGTTTTTAAACCAAAAACTTGGGAGAAGTTTCGAATATCGGAGTATGTCTCCTTAATAGCTTCCCACGCATCATTTGCGGAAGGTAAAAATATATAAGGCTTACCTACTCCAATTTCCATAGAGCTTATCAGCCATGCAATAATCAAGGAGTTTTCAGACTTCTATTGTTTGTAATGAGAGTCTCCTGTTGTCGGTTCAGTTATTGTTCCGGTTAAGAAACCAAATTTCCCTTTGCTATCCAATACCAATTGAACGGTTTGAGCTCATTCATTATAGTTATTTCCATTCATTTTAGGGATAATGACCTTGAAGGAATATGAGGAACCCTCTTGGTCATTATCGCTTGTGTTGGAATAACTGTCACCAAAAATAACGTTATTGTTGCCATCATTACTGCAAAAAAAATGTTGTTACTATTTTTATCGTTTCCGCGGCCATCGTCGTTTCCACGGCCGACGCCCAACTCAAGTGGCGGTAGTTCACCTTGGTTGGACCTGGTGTAGGCTTGTAATGAGGAAGACCACGTGTCGTTGTTATTCGCCATAGGAGGATAAACAGATATGTGAAATGGATCGGGAAAAAAGGAGGTCGATACCCTGAACCCCACTAGTTGTGGAAAGCTTTACAGTAATCCCTAATTCAGTGCTCTCGATACCATATTAGAAGAAATAAATAAAAATTGTTGTATTTTATTTCTCGGTCTTAGACTGGTATAGAGAAAATACAATTAATATATTTAATTTTTTTTAATGGAGAATAATAGAGAATAAAGAAAAATAAAAAACTATAAAAAAATAATAAAACTGAAAATATAATATTTTCCAACAATATTAAACAATATTAAACGAGGATACAAGAAAACTTCATGCTACACTAAAACTATTAAACTAACATATAGTTTTCATTTGTCTCTCTCTAACTCTAACTATTAAACTAACATCAGATCCGATCTTATAGTTCAAAGGGTAAAATGGGCATGCAAATAGATGTTAGGTCCAGCACATTATATGACCTGATTAATTTATAAATAATTTAAATTTTGGTATCCGATCTTGAGATCGAGATCAACTAATCCAATGGGACTAATTCCACCATCTAGCAGGACTCATTTAAAATCAGAGCAAAATTTTATATAGACTGATCAAACACAAAGATTATTAGCACTTAACAGAATTTAAACCTAAGACTTTGAAAGGAGCACATTCTCAAAATCTAAACTTTCACCATCAAATCAATATTGATTACCGATTTATGTATCATATAAGAAGTCACATGCACGTATATTTTAATAGATATTATTGGTGAGATTCAAAGTTGAAGATTGAACCCTTCATTTCCACTCTTATCATATTCATAGAAATTCAAACTAAACGTGTGATGTTCTTTGTATAACTAGAATACTAATATGCCAAAATACATAAAATTGGTCCCAAATGGGTCCTTACCAAAGAAATCACCATTCAAATTGTTGATTTGTTTCTAACCATATGGTTAGAAACATGTTCCTGTCACATTCATTACATGAACAATTATTTTTCTCCAATTATTTAGAGACATTGCTGATGTACAAATTTGACATTTCAAATAAGAAAATTAGTACACTACATTATCAGAAAGAGACATGCATTATGCAAGAAAACTCTTTTAGGCCTTGAGAACATAGTCATCATATCTCACGTGACTATCAATAAAAAACAGATATATTTGCCGCACAATTACAGATGAATTCGGATAAACAATTTAATTAAACACTTATTCAATAAGTTATTACAGGAAGCTAAGTTAAGTGTTCATCTAATAACTAATTTGAAAAACTTACATTAAAATAAGCATTTAGCTTTGTATATTCAAACCTCAAACTCTCTTCCTCTTCTAAGCTTTCTATCTGGGAAAGCTAAAAGAGAAAAGTTAATGGCAGTTGGATTGGCTATAACATCTCAAAATGGACAGAAGAATAATGGAAGGGTAACCCTTTATGTTGTTCTTTCTTGTATGATGGCTGCTATGGGAGGTGTGATATTCGGCTATGACATTGGTATAACAGGTGGTGTTACATCAATGGAACCGTTTCTGAAGAAGTTCTTCCACGAGATATATCTTCAGATGAAATCAGATGTCAAAGTTAGCAACTATTGCAAGTTTAACAGTCAACTGTTGACCTCTTTTACATCCTCTCTTTATGTTGCTGGTTTTTTTACTTCCTTCTTGGCTTCTTACGTCACTAGAGTCTTCGGACGCAAGCCGTCCATTGTTGCAGGTGGCGCTGCATTTCTTGCTGGTACAGCTCTTGGGGGTGCAGCTTTTAATGTGTACATGCTCATAGTCGGTCGACTTTTGCTAGGAGTTGGAGTTGGTTTTGCAAACCAGGTAACAGTCTTTTGTTACTCTCATCATTTTCTTCCCAAACACTTACGTCAAGCTTCTTCGTCAGAACCAGGCTCTGATACCAAGTTGAAAATAAGGTTTTGATGCTGAGTCGCTCGAAGGATTAGCTCTCATGATTCTGTGCTGATTTTGCAGGCAGTTCCTCTATATCTCTCTGAAATGGCACTACCGAGATTTAGAGGGGCAATAAACAATGGTTTCCAATTAAGCATTGGTATCGGCGCTTTGTCTGCTAACCTAATCAACTACGGAACAGAGAAAATTAAAGGCGGTTATGGTTGGCGCGTATCTCTAGCCATGGCAGCAGTTCCAGCCTCTTTCCTAACACTAGGTGCACTTTTCCTTCCAGAAACTCCCAATAGCTTAATCCAAACCAGCCAAGACAATCAAAAGGCAAAGCTAATACTTCAACGAATCCGAGGCGTAGAAGACGTTCAAGCAGAACTCGACGACCTCACTAAAGCAAGTTCTTCTACTTCAAAAACAATTGAACAACAATCATTTAAGATTATATTGAAAAGAAGATATAGGCCTCAACTTGTTATGGCAATAGCAATACCATTTTTCCAGCAAGTGACCGGGATCAATGTCATCGCTTTCTATGCTCCTCTACTTTTCAGAACACTCGGATTAGGAGAAAGCGCGTCGCTGTTATCATCTGTCATGACAGGTATAGTAGGTACCGGTTCAACGTTCATATCAATGCTCATAGTAGATAAACATGGAAGAAGAACTTTGTTTATAGTCGGAGGAATTCAAATGTTAGTATCGCAGTGTATAGTCGGAGGCATAATGGCGGTTCATTTGAAAGATCATGGGGGATTAAGCAAAGGGTATGCTTATATGGTTTTGGTAATGATATGTATTTATGTTGCTGGGTTTGGATGGTCATGGGGCCCGCTAGGTTGGTTAGTACCAAGTGAGATTTTTCCATTGGAGATTCGATCCGCTGGACAAAGCATTACAGTGGCAGTGAGTTTTCTCTTCACTTTTGTTATTGCGCAGACTTTTCTCGCTATGCTTTGTCACTTCAAGTCTGGGATTTTCTTCTTCTTTGGCGGTTGGGTGGTGGTGATGACCGTGTTTGTGTATTATTTTCTACCAGAAACAAAAAATGTGCCTCTCGAACGGATGGAGAAAGTGTGGCAGGAACATTGGTTTTGGAAGGGAATAGTTGGAAAAACAAATGATAGTTATGATGCTTTATAGAAGATCCAATCCTAATGCTATATGAATGTTAGCAGAAATTTTTTCGATATTAAATGCTCAATTAATATCAGAAATGATGTTTGGTACATTTTAAGCATATTTGTATGCCATCAAATTTCCTCGACCGGCACAATTAGCATAATAATGACTTAAATTTAAATGCTGAACGGTACCGATTTCTTGAACAGGCTATCTTTCAGGGCAGCACGGTAAAGACTTCTACGTCTTCCATTGCAGGACTCCTTACTGAATATCTAAATGTCCAACCATGGCAGGCCCCGGCATGTTCACCTGTTTTACTAAGGGCAACGACAGCTCCCACAAAGTTTGGAAATTTTTTGGTTATTCGCGATATTGCATCCTTAGCAGCGAGTTTGGGTTCCATTCCCAACCTCATGCTTTCCACCACTTGATAGCTGAAATCGAAAAAAGTGTTGACCTTGAAAGTTCACGAGAGAAAACTATCAGAATCTAAACTAGAGGAACTATGGAGTTTCTGTAGTACCATGGAAGAAAGCGCATCATGATGTCACCATCCCCAGTTGCGCAACATGCGCCAACTTCATCGATAGCATATGCCGAGGATCCTGCTATTGGACCATCACCTACCCTGCAATCAAGAGAAAAATTCAAGAAAATTTTAATTATAAGAAGCAATTTGGCCATTCGAGATATGAAAAGATCTAAAATGTCTTAAAAAACGGTGTGTTATCGCGAAAACGGTTGCGACAAAACGGTAACGAAAGGCACCGATATCGATACCTTTATTTACCGTTTTTGTGATAAAGAACAAACTGTGGTTAATTCACACCACGATGACCGCAATCAGCGTCGCAACACATGTACCAACCGAAATTGTGGAAGCCTTTACACGACGTGACAGTTATTTAAAACCTTTCCAACTTCTAAGATTGACACCAACAAATTTACCTTCCAGGAATCTTGAATGTCGCACCGTTAGTTGATGTGCCAACAGCAATGTGTCCCGTCTATACCAAATAAACAAGTGTCATTTGCAATGCTAATACATTGTGATGTACGCAGATAGATTTTTATGTTTTTACGATAATCTTACTCTATCAATAACAGCCATTGAAATGGTATCGTGGCTGTGAAGACCAACATGAGGTAACCTTGGTATTTGACTTTGATCAATAACGGAGCATGTTTCATCAGAGAGGTGGAGATAGTTATTTGGACGATAAGGACCACAATCATTCTGGGGTAATACGTTTTTCCTGAAATTCGGTTGACAGCTACTTTTTTTCCATGCAGTCCATTTCTCTATAGATTCTGATGAACTCAAGTTTGTTGGTCCTGGAAGACCCATTGAAATTGCGAATTCAGACGCTTTCTCTCCAACCAACAAAGTGTGTTGGGTGTGTTGCATTACTAGCCTAGCAGCTTTGATTCCGTCCTTTACGTATCGCATGGCAGCAACGGCTCCTACTTCCATAGTCACCTATATGATGCCGATGTATGAGAGTTTTAGAATGCGAGATACAGAAAATGGTAATTGGTTGTTACCCCATCCATGACCAGAGCATCGATTGTAGTTTCTCCATTCTCGTCTGGACTCCCACCCGGACCAACTGTAAAGAATAGGTTCAAATTGAGATTGAAAAGTTCAAATTTATGTTGGAAAGATTAGAGTCGAAACCTGTTCCATCACACCTAAGTTGCTCACAAGTAGAGCAACCTTCAACAACGGAATCAAGAGCAGAAGCCCCAGCATGAACGGCTCTCCATGCAGCTCTAACAGCTTCAATAAACGGCCATGTGCTTACCACCAATGGATCATACTGTTTCAAATCAACACTTCCACGATGCCCCACAACCTCATCACAACCACAACACATGCAAAATAAAATCAATTTTTTGAAATTTTGAAAATAAAAATGGAAACCCAATTAAGAATTTGAGTGAGAAAAGAGAATGGTTGATTGGTGTGTACCGGTGAGAGTAAAGTGAGCAAGAAAATGAAGTTGAAGGAATTTGAAGCCATGGACGGGGCTGGAGATTTTATCACTCTTTCTTGAGGATTAACCAAATCACCTAATCGCGCATCAATTAGAGTTCTAGATAATTATGTAGCATTTCCAACTCATTAAAGATCACATCAATTAAACCATCGTTACTATATTGAAAATTGAAAATGACATCATTTTAAAATAAAATTTTTGGGATGGAAATTAAGAATTTCTATATAAACAGGATCATTGAATTTTTTATTCTTCTATAAACAATCTAGCAGCAAAATAGCAAAATGACACATACTAAAAGTGTAAAATCCAGAAATTATTGTTGTATTTTGTCATTTCAATTATACTGAGATGAATATTTCTTTCATCTTTATTTCCAATATGAATAGACTATTTTTGCAGTTATTTTATAAGACATCACAAAATAGGACTAGATGGCAAAATTACATGTTCATTTTGAATGACACGTCCACTAAACTCATTTTTTTTAATTATATTTTATCTGTACTCATTATATTAACTAATTCAAGGGTTAAGTCACCCTAATAGCAATGTAACCAATGTCCTTTAGCTGAGTGAGATCCCTCCTCATATGAATGTTTAAATTCAATTTTTACCTATGCCAAATGTAATTTCATGGAATAATACATAAACATTTAATATTTATTTATTACACCGTATTAAAACTGATTTTGTCCCAATCAGAAAACGGTACAAATAGTAGCACTTACATTACGGTAAAATTATTTTGTCATATATGTCTAAATTGATGATAAAAGACTCGCTGTAACCATGAAAGTATTTAATATCATCTCTCACCATGTTGTATAATTTTCATTTAGTTATTCTGCAATTATCAAAGATTAAGATTCAAATTAATTTCTAACTTTAACCACGCAAGAAAGCATTCTCAACTTCATCTCTTTGTCTCAGATCCTATAATTTGCATATTCTGCAATTATCAAACATTAAGATTCAAATTAATTTCTAACTTTAACCACACAAGAAAGCATTCTCAACTTCATCTCTTAGTCTCAGATCCTATAATTTGCATTTAGTTATTTTGCAATTATCAAACATTAAGATCCAAATCCTTCTAACTTCTTTTTTCGAAAACAATACGAAACAAAGCTCAGATGAGATAGTATCTACAAAGTAGGAAAAATAGACGATTAACAAAGGAGTCCGGTGACAATGATCCAATCCAAGCATGCTATGACATCATATCATTGAGAGCCCTGAAATGAAGAAGGAATTTATTAGGGGGTTTAGCAATTGTTAAATAACATCCTTATGAAATGGAGGAACATGTACATCAAAATCTAAATCTAAATCTAAATCTAGAAAGGATAAAGACAATAATTAATACCAATAACTTGGGGAAAAAAACCAATGGCAATCACGAAAATTCATATCCTAACGTATCAGATTTTAGTTACCCGAAGCATCAGATTTTAGTTACACGGTTACACACCATTTTAAAAGAAATACCCTGGCTGTAGATGTAGTAGAGAAATGAAAATTAGTTAGGGTTAATCAGATCAGTTAGTTAATTATCTTCAAGAGAGAATTGGTTAGATAAGCAAATATGGGATGTAAGGTTAGAAGGGGGTTGATGTGCAATATTGGCATGATTGCACGCCTTTTCCTCAATTTAAGCTCAAATAAGATAAAGCTCTGTCTCGAAATAGCTTATTTGCAGCTTATAAAGCATAAACACTTATTATAACAAGAGCTTATGTATAAGTTAACATCAGATAATTTTATAACAAATGATAAAATAAAGTGTTTCTGTGTGTGCTATAAGTGTTTTTATAAAATATATTCATGAAAATAAACTGAAAAAATTATGCAAGATGTCATTAATTGTTTTAAAAAATCTCCTAAATAGTGTAACAAAGCTTATGACAGGAGTAGATAAGCTCAAATAAGTCAATGAAAACTGGCCCAAAACATGCAAATTGTTCCCAGACTGAGTCGAAAAGGTCGCCATCAGACTAAATCCCCAAACTATAATTGGATTCCTTCAATGTTTCACGCCATGGGATTCTCCCCCCAACTAGTAAATATCTATCTAATCTCGTGTAGTTACTAGTTCTATTGGAAGGCCTATCAGCACTTTTACACAAAAGGTTCCTTTGCATCTTAATCAAGCAAAAGGAATGCCCTTTGTTATCTTATTTTAACACGCTATGACATACAAGCTGATGCAATGCAACTTTGAATGCAAGAAATCAAATTGAAGCAGGTATGACATAGAGTACATATTAGAAATCCAATTGAACCAAATTAAATCAAAACCAAATAAATGCAAGAACCAAAATAAGGAGATTACCCTGATTAACGTGTAGGATTGAGAGCCATGAGAATGTTCTTTCCACCAGGAAGGTAAGAGACATTAGGAGACTTAGCTAGAGTAGAGGCCACTTCCCTCGAAGCCTCGATCCTCCTAAGCTCAATCAACCCCATGCCAGCAGATGCAGTAGCATCAGAAATTAGCTTGGCAGCATCACTTTCTCCTTCAGCACGTATAATTGCAGCACGACGCTCCTGTTCTGCCTTCATCACAACAAATTTAGACCTCTCAGCCTCTTGTTGAGCCACCTGCTTCTGCTCAACGGCCCTGGTATTAGATCATACACAGAATTAGTACACAAACGCCGCTTCGTGAATGTCAAGCTCATAGCTTAGTATATTATTAGTAAAGTGGTAACAGTTAATGAGTAAGTTGCGAGTCTATTTGTAAATCAATTAGTTTGTTACAGTTAGCTAGCATAGTAAGTGAGCATAGTTAGGACTTAGGAGTGAATGACTAAATTAATCCCTGAAACAACAGGCACCAATAAATTGGTTCTTGAAATTAAAAAACTAACTAAAACATTCGAAAATCATAGTGTCAATCATTTAGTCCAAAGGTTATCCTTTGTTAGCAGACATTTCAAATTAGCACCTAAAGTTGAATACTAACATCAAATCAATCCATAAGGATTACTCATGAATATCAAATTAGTCCTTATATTTGTCATTTAAATCTAAACCAAGAATTAACAGATACACAAACATTTTTGATGATTTATTAATTTGATGGCTCTATAGCATTTCAGGGATCAAGTTAGTGATTCACTCATATAGATCGTGTAGAACCGACACTTCAAAATGAAGTTGGGTTTAGTGTTCGACACAACCCTAACACACGAGGTTACGACCCCAACATATAGTTTGTGTAATGAAGCATGGACATGCGAACACGACATCGACACTAGCATGTTGACACTGGCAATAATTTGAAAAAATGAATAAACTAAACATAATCTCAAGTGTCGGTGTCAGTGTCGATTTCAGACACTCACATTGACACGGAGACACCTTTTTCTAGAGATGTTCATGCTAAAGAGATTGTGTCTAGTGTTCAACACAACCCCGACACACGAGGTTACATTCAGAGCCCGTTTTTAGTTCGCAAGTAAAATTACTTTTCTTAACTAAACAAACAATTTTTGCAGTTCTAATTATGTTTATCTAAGCTGTTTAGACAATATGATTACTTAAAATAGTTTCTACTTCAAATAATAACCTCTAAAAACAGTTTCTACTTCAAATAATAACCTCTAAAAAATCTGTAGATTAATCTGACCTAAACAAACATATCCATAACCACTTCTATTTCTTTAATTATTGTAACTGGCTGCAAGGTTTTAAAAATTGGACCGCAACCGTGAAATCGGTGGCGACATAACGTTATCAGCACCAATACCATTATTCACCATTTTTATGTTACAGAACAAACTGTGGTTAATTCCCACCGCAACGACACAGATCAAAATCGCGAAAGCTTACACCACACGAATGATATTTAAGTGTTTGCATTGGTTAATTATTCAAAGCATATAACTGATTAAGAAATTCAATTTCTCTAGAACGACAAGAAACAAAGAAATATACCTAGAGAATTCAGCACCATAAGACAAATGAGTAATAGCAACATCATCAAGAAGAATATTAAAATCCTTCGCCCTTCTCACAAGACTATCCCTAACCAGCGCCGAAACCTGCGGCCGATCCGTAAGCAGCTGATCCGCATTAAACTGCGCAACAACCGCCTTCAACACCTCGTTCCCAATCGACGGAAGCACCTTCTCATCATACTCCAATCCAAGATTCTGCACAATAGTCGGAAGCCGTTCCGTATCGGGCCGCGAAAGCACACGGAGAGTGAGATTCACCATCTGGAGATCCTTGGTACCTGAGATCGAAGAGAATGTGTGAGGACGAGTGCGGATGTCGAAGATGTAGGGCTTCTGGACCCATGGGATGAGGAAGTGAGTGCCTTCGCCGATGGATTGTTCGAGGATGCCGCGGAAACGGTCGAAGAGGACGGCGCGTTGGCCGCCGTCGACGGTGTAGAGGGAGGAATTAACGGCGGTGGCGGCGGCGCCGAGGCCGAAGGCGAGGCGGGCGATGTTGTTGAGGATGGAGGCTGCGGCTTGGCTGCTTCCCATTTTTGAGAGAGAAAGGGTTTTAGGGTTTGAGGAAATGGAATAGAAAGGGTTTTAGGGTTTTGGTTTTCTACTCCCTTTTTTTGTTTTGTTTTTTTATTAAAATTTAATTAAAAGTTTTCTTGGAGAAGGGTGTTTCTTTTTTATCATTATTACACTTTCTACTATTGCAACCATATATATTTATGTGAGTACTCTAAAAATTTAGATGAGATGGCACTTTCTATTAGGGTGGCAAAACGGTCAGGTTGGTCTGTTTAACCTGCTATTCTTAGTGGGTTAGACTGAGGTTTTTGGTTCAATATTTTAAATTGGTCTGTTCCGCTTAACCTGCTTAAAAAAATAGGTCAAGGCGGATAAGATGGGTTTTCTCCGCGGATTTTTTGTTAAAATTTTTACTCTTTTTATTAAGTATTAAAACAACTTTAACTATAAAAATAACACTCATCTCTTAGAATTTTATTATAAATTATTATACAAATAAATTGAATTATAATTGTAACGTTCTTTCTATAACTTTCTAATACATGTGTTGATTGAAAATGATTGAAATAAAAGAATAAATGTATGACATGCATAATTATTAAGTTTTCAATATATTAGCTCAGATGTTTTTTTTTTAGAAATAGATGTTGATTTTAAGAAAATGAAGAATTTGATTAGTATATACATGTGACAAATTTAGGATTTAACTATTAAAGAATCGGTCAATATAAGAGTCTATATAATGTAAACAGTGAGAAAATCCGGTATTGATATTTTACGCATTACTATTTTATGCACTGTGATGTTTTATGCAATATTAAAGTTATCATTGTTGGCTTTGTGTGAGTTTTAAATTTGGTTCTTTTAGTAGTTAGTTTTTAAATAGGATTAGGATGATATCTATTGTTTATTTATTTTCATATTTTTATTGTGCTTGAGTTTATTTTGTTTTTTATTGTAATTGGTCTTTATTTATTAAATTGTTTGAATTGTTTGGACTTAATACATATTGGAGTTCTATTATGCGTTGTTAAAAAATTCTTTATCAACCTCTTTGGTAATAATTAAAAAAATTCTAAATTATGTATTAAATCAAATTGTAAAATTAAAAATAAAAAAAAATTGACGAACCGGCCCGCCAATCCACCAACTTGTTAGTAAACGGGGCGGACTTGACTTTTGAGCTCGGACCCCTATGTTGGTCCGTCCCGCCCCGCCCCACTTTTGGACGGACTTAAACGGGACAGGCCTAAATGGGGCGGGTCGCCCGCTTTGTCACCCCTGCTTTCTACCTCTTAGATTATTTTAGACATAATTTAATTTTAGGGATATTCTTTTTAGTTTGAGAGGTAAATCTTACGATTTTGAGTATAGATATCTCATTTAATGATTTTTAAGATGTTAAAAAAATTGTGAATAATATATATAAGAATTTGAGAAGGTGACTTCTTTGAACGAGATTTGTAAAAGCAAGATTCTTGGACGAGACTTGTAAAGTGAGTTTCTTAAACGAGATTTGTAAAAGTGAGTCTTTCAAACGGGACTTGTAAAGGCGAGTCCACTAGACGAGACTTATAAAGATGAGTTCCTCAAACGAGACTTATAAAGGTGAGTCCCTCAAACGAGACTTGTAAAGGTGAGTCCCTCATTTTAGACTTGTAAAAGAGAGTAAGCAAGTCCATTAGACGAGACTTGTAAAAATTAATCCCTCATATGAGACTTTATAAAGGTGAGTCCACCACGTACAACTCTTCATATTTTTCTTTTGTATTATTTTTATTGTTGTCCTGTTTTAAGTTTTCTTATAGCATCGCCCTTCGGTTTCTTTTAATGACCATATTGACGTTTTTGGCAATATGTATATTGATTTTGAGTCATCGTTATTTAATTATTTGTTCCTCTTGGTTTTTAGTTATTTGAGTTGGTGAAGATGCCTCTTGAGGTTATCCCTTTGGAGTAGTGATAATTCACAGTCTTGACTCAAAGGAGATGGTATTTTATGGCGGCCTCGACTTCTCATCAAGATAGTAGTAGGGTGGCGTAACTGGATTTTTAATCAGAGCCGCCACTATTAGTTTTTATCCTAGGAAAGTGTTGGTGTAAGCCCTAGAGGCCAATACTTTTGGTACTTGTATCGAATTATTTATTAATAATAAAAAGCATTTCTTTATTATGTTTGCTTTCCAAAATAATAAAGTCCCTATAATGGTTTATTTGTTTAATGAAATGTTAAGTGTGACTTAATCATGAGATCCCATTAAACATAAGACACTATTCTTAAAGTATCCGTAGTCAAGCTTTAATGTGAAGTGGGATAACATTAAAGCATTAAGATTATTATGAAGATAGATTGATGATCATATCTCATGGATCATAGATAAGGAGTTATCAAGTCTTGACATAGGTATGAATATTAGGAGTAATATTTATACTGGATTGACCCGCTATGAGAATACTACATAGAATGTTATGCAAAGTGTCATAAGTTATTCTCATGATGATAATGGTGTATACCACCCTTCGACCTGAAACCACTATGGACCCTAGATGTAGAGTCAAGTACTTTATTGTTGATCAAACGTCATCCGTAACTGGATGACTGTAAAGACGGTTGATGGGTACTTCACAAAGCATGCTAAGGGACATGAGTGACCTAGATAGAATTTGTTCATCCTGCATAACAGGATAAATGTCTAAGGGTCCAATATTGAACTGGACAAGGGTGACACAGTGTATGCCTTGTGTTCAATATAGACATGAGGGCAAAAGGGTAATTGTACAACACAAATATTATCACGGAAAAAGGTTTGGTCAGATCACATGACATTTTCGTGACTTGGGTAACAGTGATGTGTTGCTAGATACCGCTCATTGTTTATTATATTAAATGTGTGATTTAATATAATTGCCAACGTCGCGAAAACCTACAGGGTCACACACATAAGGACAGGTTGATGAGAGATAGAATAAATAAGGAACACCATAAGGTACAGCGCACTTAAGTGTAATACGGAAAGTGGTAAGGTACCACGTGGATAAGTGATATATGGTACGTCATAAGGTATGATGTCCATAAGCTTAATTGGGCTTTTAGCTTATAGTCTTAATTGGGCTTTTAGCTTGTAGCCCACACGAGTGATTCTATAAATAGATCCCTTGTGATGAAGCAATTTCACTTGATGCAATTTCGTTTTTGATTCTCTCTATCACTCATAAGGTTTCCGTTCGTGATAAGCTAGCACTGTAACCGGAAGCGATCTGTTCGTGTGGACTGAGTAGAGGCGTTGTTCTTCATTAACGCTCGTGATCACAACATCAAAGCTCTGAATCGCCACAAGAGGTAAATGTTTCTATCACTGACCATGCTCATTCGTAAGGATCGCTAAAGGAAAATTTTAATATCCGCTGCGCTTTTGATCGCAATTTTCATTCAGGAAGGAAATCTAATAGAAAACTCTAATTCGTAGACAGAGATTATAGGTTTCAGACTTCATTAGACGAAATGAAGGTGTTAGATACCTTTCATCTACCTTGTTCACAAGGATATTAGGTTTTAGGTTTAAGTTTGGGGAAAATAGGATTTTAAATTTTATTAGGGGAAAAGAGTTTAAATTTTTTAATAGGGAAAAAGTGTCTTAATTTTTTAATAGGGGAACTCGCCACGATTTTTGATCGTATGCCTACGTATCCTCTTATGAGGAATCAGAGTCCTAATTCATAGTTCATATGAGTTTGTGTTTTTTAGGGGATGCAAATGTATTTTGAATTACCTTGCATTTTGGTCGAGAGTGGTGATTGCGGAGATTTTGGCTAAATGCGCAGTAAGTCAAAATCTGTTTGAAACCCTTTCGCAAAAATAGTTGTTTAGATTAGTTTGTTGCGAAAAATAGTTTTATGTCTGTTATATGTTTTTTATAGATATTAATTGCAAAAAAAAATCTTATTAATGCATGACATATATCAAATATTTAATGCAAATAATATAAGAAAATAATATGCAATTTTTGATGTAAAAATAATTTAAGTGATATAATAAATAATATTCACAATAAAAATTAATAATAGTATAATAATTACAAAATAGAAAAATAAAGGAAAAAGAACAGAATAATTTATGAATAGGGGGTGCATCTTCTGGTTGTTAAGCCCTAGCAAAAATTTTGAAAATAGATGTTCTGAAGGAGACAATTTCTGCAGGGGATGCAGGGAAATTGACTGGGTTTTGGCCCCAGTCGCAGAACTTCTGAAAAGACACGCTATAAGCTAGTTAGCAAAGTTAGAAAATAGGGACGTCAAATTCTGGGCTAAGTCCACTACTCAGAATTTCTGAAAAAGGGTAGATAGAAAGTATGCAAGTCTAATGTTGATTCTGGACAAGGGGAAAATTTGAAACCTGGGTTAAGCCCCGTCAGAACTTCTAAAAAGGAAACTACATTTGGACGTAAGAAATTAGCGTGAACATATGCAATCAGATTATAAGACTATCTACATATCTGTTTTCTATGGTTTCAGCCCTGCCTATGTTCTTCTGACCCAATTCATCTTACATCCAGCATGAAGACAGTAAAGAAACAGATTAAAATTTGTTACCCTTTTGGCGCATTTACTTCTGATTCTGGTGCGTGTTTTGCTGTCCTTTCCTTCTTCTTCTGCAGATTTTGGTGACAGCATCGATGGAAGGTGGAGCGACGGTGATTGAAACTAGGGTTTCAGATATTGGAACCTCAGTTACTCTTCTGCGTGTTCTTCTTCTTGGTTTTCCAGAAATTCTACTCTTCTTACTCTTTCTTCAAGCGTTACTGTATTGCTTTTCTATGCAAATTCGTTTCTCTCCTCATCTTCTTTTTTCTCCCCCCTCTTTTTTTGTTTGCTAATTTGCTCTTTATTTATAGTGTTCAATTTTTGGGCTTGGACTATGGCTAGAGCAAAGATTGAGGATAAAATTAAAAAAAAATTGATTAGAATTGATCCTCTGTGGAAGATTTGACTAAAATTGATTCTCTGTGGAAGATTTGATT